ATAAAATAAATAATTATTTAAGAAATAAAAAAATAAATAATATTTTTAAAAGGATGTACATGGGGGCGTGGCCCTGGTAACCTCCCCGCTGCCTCCGCCTCTCCCCTCCCTCGGGCTGCAGGTGATGGACGAGGCGGACCGGCTGCTGGAGCAGGGCTGCACGGACTTCACCGCAGACCTGGAGGTCATCCTGGCGGCCGTGCCAACCCGCCGGCAGACGCTGCTCTTCAGCGCCACGCTGACCGACACCCTCCGGGAGCTGCAGGGCCTGGCCACCAACCAGCCCTTCTTCTGGGAGGCCCAGGCCCCGTGAGTCCCCGGCACGCCCTGGGGTGGGGTGGTCACAGCCATCCTGGGCAGGGTGGCAACCCCATCGGGCAGAATGGGAAACCGAGCCCCGGATCCCCACCCCCAGGGTGCGTACCGTGGAGCAGCTGGACCAGCGCTACCTACTGGTGCCCGAGAGGGTCAAAGACGCCTACCTGGTTCACCTGGTCCAGACCTTCCAGGACGAACACGAGGACTGGTCCATCATCATCTTCACCAACACGTGCAAGTGCGAGCGGGTGGGCCGGGTGCCCCTCCCCGTAGCCCTTCACGCCCCGGACTCCGCTCAGACCGCAGGCTTCGGGGTTCCCAGCCCCGCCATTGACCAACGTGCTTGGAGACCTCCGCAGCCCTGGTCCCCATAGCCTGGTCACCGCGGCCTCCTGGGCCTCCAGTCCATCTCATGGCAAGGCGTGGCAATGAACCGAGGCCCACAGTTAGCGCCAGGCCTCGGGCGGTTACATCAGCTCCTCCGTGGAGCTTTTGGGGCTGTAGGTAGCAGGTCCTGTAGCTCAGTGGTTAGGCGCTGTGCGGAGGAAGCCGGATCCCTCATGGCCGCCCCCGGGTTTGAGTTCTAGGCTGTTGGCTTGAAAACACTAAGATGGGCCGGCCAAGTGGCACAGAGATTGGAGTGGCTGGATCCCACTTGGCCGACTGCATGGTTTAAGCCCTAGACCTGGTGGCTTGAAATGTACCCCTGGCACGTGTGCACGTGTGCCCACAATCCAGAGAGGAGAATGGAGAAGGGATTGTGGTGTGGCCATCCTCCCTGGGAAGGATGTTCCCTATAGCAAAAAAAAGAAAAGAAAAATACTCTGGACATGCATACGAGTGTCCATGATTCTAACCGGGGTAGAAAATTAGAGGAAAAACAATTGCAGTCTGCTAGGCCCTATGAGGGGGTGCTCTCTCATTCACGCTCCCCTCTGGCACCACAAAAAGAAAAAAAAAAAAAAAAAAAGCTTTAGGACAGAAGGTTATTACAGACTGAGCAAATGAATGTCCTGGCTCCCAGAAGAGAAGTTTGGCTGTAAGGTGGCCTTCAGGCATGGCATGATCCAGCAGCTCACGTACTACCAGCTAATTCTCTGTTCATCATTTGATTCTGTTGTCCTCCGTTGACCCCTGGGAAACCCTGTCCTTCTAGTAGCAGTGACCACCCCCACTAGCAGCCTGCTTTCCAGGCTCTGTGTCCTACAATTCCAGCAGAAAGAACAGGACGCCACCCTCTCAGAAGTCGTGGCAGCGGTCTGGGGCCAGCTCCTGTGGGTTCAGGCCTGGGGAAGGGGTCAGCAGAGAGAAAAGCAGGCAGATGAGGACCCCCCCCCACTCACACACACACACACAAACCCCCACAATCCTGCGTCTTTTTCTTTTATTCATAATAAAGTATATGCACCCGTGCGTGAGAACGAGAGCGAAAGTACCCTTGAATGGGGCTGGTCACGCTGCAGTCCCTTCTCCAGTTCTCCACCCCTTCAAGGCTAGGCCGTCTTCCTCCTGGTCACACGTATAAGTGCCCACTGTGTTGCCTCCAGGGACAGGATTCGAACCCGAGTCTACCCTGTGGGATCCAGCTTCCTCCACACAGCACTTAACAGCAGCCCCACAGGGCAGATCCTGCCTCTCTCTGAGTCGCCTGGGGCTCAGAGGTGGTCGGGGGGGTGGGGGGTACCATGGGCATTGGGGGGAGCAGTAGGGGGGCTGAGCAGCGCATCCCTCCCTCCAGGACCTGCCAGATCCTGTGTATGATGCTGCGCAAATTCAACTTCCCCACGGTGGCGCTGCATTCCATGATGAAGCAGGTGCGAGCCCGCGGCCCGCCCTGGCCACGCCCACCTTCTCTAGGCCCCGCCCCAAGCTCCAAGCCACGCCCCAGGCACGGCTCCTCACCTTGCCCCACTGAC